AACCTGGTCAGACTGGAGGACCTTTCTGCCTGCACGGGGAGATCTCTGCCATAAACACTCAGTGTTAGTGGGGTACCCGTCTGAGCTGCCTAGAGCATTTTCCACTGAAAAGCTGGTGATGCAGCCTCCTGACAGTTTGCAGGCACGGCTGCTGTTTGGCAGCGACTGAACAATTTGAAACAGCGTGAACATATTGCTTAGCTAATGGCTCTCTTTGTCTAGAGGTGAAACAAACAGCTCGGGACCTCAAATGGTTTTCCAGCTATCACATGGAGAGGAAACTTTTTTTTCCCTCCCCAGAAGTATCATTAGTTTTAGCCTCCCATAAACTGAGCCCCTTCTCTTCCCGCAGCCAAGCTTCCAGGCGCCATCTAGTGTTACCCCCCCCCATCACGGGAAACCTGGTGCCTCATCAGTACCAACCGCAAAGAGACCCAAAAATCAAAGCCATGTCACTTCTGAGGTGGCTCGGCCAATCTTCCCTTGGGCCAGCACCTGCGGAGGCTGTTTGGGGACCAAGGCTCAATAAGGATGTTGGATATTTTCATGTCTGTGGAGCTTCCGGAGAGGTGCGTCGCTGTCAGGCGTAGCAGCGGGATGCGAGAAGGACGTGGTCGCACGTTAAAAGCAAATCCAAGGGTGAGGCTGTGAGTGCTTGGAGGAGCCTCTGCCCTCCCATGGCCTCCGAGTAATTTTCTTTGAGATTTAAGGGAGAAGTGACGCCCTCCTCATCCCTGGAATAGAGTCCTTGCTTTGCCTCAGTGCTGATTTCTCTCTCTGCATGGATTTGGCAGGGTAAGGGGAGACAAACAGAAACTGAGAAGGGATCTCCGTACATCAGAAGTAGGGGTGGAGGCTCTTTGTGTAACCGGCTTGTTCTGACAGTGTTTGCCACATTCTATAGTTTTATGCTGACCCTTCTGTTCTTGCAAGGCACATGAGATGCTTTCAGAGTCAAATCCGTCTTGTGCAGATGTTGAGATTCCCCCTTTTTTCTTTCTGCATTACAGTTGGGTTTGCCCAGTGGCATCTTTCCCCGAGCACTGATACTGCTCTAGCCCCTCGCGAGCAAACATACACTGGGAACATCAGTGTCAAGTATATGTAAAGAGTGTGAGATCTTGTTGAAACGAGGTGCTTAGGGACAGTCTGGATTCCCCATAAAATAGCAGGCTTGTTCTTGTGGGACATTCGAGATGCGAGAGTTCAGCCCAGGCCACTTACAGACACGTTTTATCCCCCAGTATCTTTTGTAGGGTGAGTTGTTGGTGTTCTTCCAAAATCTGCTTTAAGCTGATCTGTCTGGGAGGGGTTACTTGCCCACAAAACCTGTTTCCCAGCACATGCAGTCTGTGCTTTCCCAATCCTAAACCATCCTTGGGAAAACTACTGCTCTATCTCACTGGAACTGCTCCTCTGAGAGTCCTAAAAATCTGTGTATGGCCTTTACATGGCCCCTTTTGAGACCTGGTGTGCAAAAGCAGGATCTGCACTGGGGTAGTGGGGGGACCTCAGGCTCTGGCTGTGTTTTCCTGGCGGTGAAGGCTCCCTTTTCTCTCCTTGCAGCGGCATGAGTTGGAGTTGGGGTTGGGCATCTGCCGGAAGCAGCATCTTAGCAGAATTTGGTACCTTGCACTTAGAATTCCTGCACCTCTCGGAGCTCTCTGGCAACCCTGTGTTTGCAGAAAAGGCAAGTACTTCCCAATTTGGTCTTTGGGGAACTGGTCTTTTTGTACTCCTGGGGTCGGTGCTGGAGCAGAGCAGCGCTGGGATCTGCAGCAAAGTGCTCCTTCTCCCCAACACCCGTAGGAAAAACCTTCCAGACTGAGACATGGGTTCAGAAACCTGTGCCTTGCAGGCTGCAGAGGTCACCAGGCATCAGGACATCCTGAGAAGGTCACAGCAAGCTCCTGGAGTGAGCTGCCCCGGTGTTTAATTTGGCCATTTACATTTGCTGGAGCCTCTTCCCCTGCCTCTCTGCGACTTGCAGCTACCAGGGAGATGGGGATGTTTTTCCCAATGTCTCGGTCGTGTGAAGTTGTAGCCAAAACCTGCTCAGACAAGGACACGGCCAAAATTAAACCATCTGTTGGGTGCAGACTGCGGAGATAATTGTTAATTCTGATATCCTAATAGTAGTGCCTTGTACTTGCAGACCTTTTTACTCTAAACAGGCATTAAATGTTACGCTCCAGCCAGGAAGATTTCTGCAGAGGTTTCTTGTGTAGGAAAGGCCTGACAGTTGACATATTGGATTCCTTTTGTGCAACTTGTAACTGAAAATCTATTAATATTGTACATTACCTTGAGCTTTTTTTTTCCTTCGCAAGTGATCTTGGAGTGCATGTGAGAGCAACTTAATGAATATATGCTGTTAGATACCAGCAAGTCATTAGCTTTCGCTGCGCGTCCCTGAGGAACCAGCTTTGAGGGAGACAAATTGTTCCACTTAGAATCCAAACTGCCCCCATGAGCCCCAAGGAAATGGGGCCTGTCCAGAGTCCCACAGCGGGGTGAAAACAGACAGTGGTTCTAGGATTGCCAATAAAAAGCTCAAAATGTACTTTTCCAGGGTATTTCCAGTGCAAGTCTGTCAGTTGTGAAACAAGAAGGGTATCTGAAGAAGAGAGAGGAAGAAAGAGAAGGGAGGAGCTGGGAGAGCAAAGTGGGGAGCGGGATGGGGTGTATGGACACAACAAGGGTGGGGTGAGCAAAAGGAATATTACAGGGAGGTGAGCAGGAAAGAGAAGCAGAGAGTGAAGAAAAACTAGAAATCCAGGAAATGCTGTAGGGAGAATAAGGAAAGACTGGTGATTTGAAATAAAGGCGACAGGGTAAAGATTCCTCAGAACAGTGATAATGACAGATTGCTCAGAGGAAGGGGATAGCTGAGAAAAAATCAAGTAAATGGAACAGTAGTACGGAAAGAAAATGTGTGTGAAGAAAATGAAGGAGAGCAGAGGAAAGAGATGAGCACTGAAAACACGAGGGCAAGAAGATGCACTGTTAAAAACTGGAATTGTGTCTGTATTCCAGGATGGAGCTGTGGCGTTCTGAGGCAGGGTCAAGCCTCTGTCTCCAGCCTAACGTGTTTTCCTCTTTGCCTTCTAAGCCCGTAGAGGGATAAGGGCAGAACCTTTCTAACGGACTCTCCAGAGCTGAGCGTGCCTGATGTGTGCCACAGAAAACGTTATCGCCTTCATCGTGAGAGAAAAAAATGTAGGATGGTGTGGGCTCAAACAGCCCATCCTGTGGGAAATTATTGCAGAGGAACAGATCAACTCATTAACTTGCAGCTTGGGACTTGTGTAATTTTAGCAAGAATAAAGTCCATCTGTGTCTTTTATTCAAACATGTCATTAATATGCCATGCTACTAAACTTCAGTAAATATTATGCAGCCTGACGACTTACTTGGAAGCATTGACTTAAGTCCGTCGCCAGCTTTTGGCGTACAAATTGTCTAATTTTATAAAAGGTTTAGAGTGTATTAGCTGCTCTGTAGGTTATAATAGAATATTTATGCTGCATACCATTTAACTTTGTCCCTTATGGGAAAGGCCTGTTGGATTTAATGGGGGTTAAACCAAGGGAGGTTTTACAGAGTAAGTACGGCTGTTCTAGCTTATTAAAGGAGCTGTCTGTTGTTGAAATTAAAGGCCCCAATTCATCATGTTAAGTGACCACATGGTGAATTTAAGTACTGTGTGAGTCACTCATCCCTGCCACTCCTTTCCCTTTGGATCATGGAAAAAATCACCCTCCACTCTCTCCTACACTTCCACCCAAATCCTGGGGATTGCTTCTAGACCTCTCTCGGTGAAATGCTTCCATTGCTTGCTGAACTGGGGCCTTGCTGGGGTTTTTAGAATCGTTTCTAAAATCCCACAGAGCTGGATAAAGATTGTGCTTGATGAGGAGTCCGGCCTGAAGGTTTCTCCGTCACAGCCCTCTCACCGGAAAGCCGCGTCACTGGGTTCTGCTCGGGGGAGGATTCTCAGCGTTCCGGGCTGCTGTGCTTGTTCAGCCGCGGATCGGCACTGATGAGCTCTCAGTGACAGTGCAAAACCGTCGGCTTTCTCAGCAGAGAACTAACATTCTTCTTGTCTCTCCTCTCCCCTAGGTGATGAACATCCGGAAGGTCCTGAACAGAGTTGAGAAGCCGCAGGGCCTTTATCCCAACTTCCTCAGCCCGGTGACAGGGAACTGGGTGCAGCGTAGGTATCGCTCTGTGCTCAGAGTCCTGCTTGGAGCATTTCAGTCTTTCCATTCTTTTTTAGGAAGCAATAGGAACTGTCAGAGCAGCAAGCCAAGGAAATGTCTTGTAAGGCAGCCTGGTATAGATGTGATTAGATAATGCAACCCGATTTGTAAGATGCAATATAGAAATTGTACGCTTACTCCATCAGCCTTGTTTCCAGCTGAGTGTCTCACCTCCAGAGAGAATTAGGGCCTTTCTGGCACAGGGGAGGATAATGGCACATGGTTCAGCACACAGGTATTAGGAATCAGCACGTCTCTTTAAGACCTCATCCTGCAGTTATCACAGAGCCCAAAGACCTACTTGGGAGCTGGACGTGAAGGCTCTGAGCAGAAGCAGGTTTGCTTCCTAAGTGAGGAACCACCTGGAGAGGCCGAGGGGCTTACAGAGCCCTAGATCCAGGGCTGCGTTCTCTTGTGTGCACTCCTGTGCCGGTCACCATGGTACCCCTGCGTAGTGCAATTTGGTGCCAGAAGGGTGAGACAAGTCTGTGTTGGGGAGCCAGCGCTGGCCAGCACTGAGGACGTGGGCATTAGATAGATAACTGCGCTGACACGAAAGAGGAGGAATAACCAGGAAAGGGCTTGAGCGGAGCAAGGAAATAGTGGAAGCAGTGTACCCAAGGAAAGATAGTTACATTCCTGATTTATGCACAGAGCCCTTTCCTTGCCTGCCCCTCATTTTGTGCCTCCAAAGGGTAGAAGCCGTCTGGTACAAACATGGGAGGCTACTTCTGCTGCTGTGCCCCAGATTTCTGACCTTAACTTTCCACACTGTTAAGGATTTGCTTTGGTTTTGGCAAGGGAGAGTTGCTGGATTTTTTATTTCTCTGTGAAAGGAAAGTCTCTTTTGCGCAGAAGATGTTTTTAACCCGTCAGTGGATTACACTGACATCATTTAAACAGTTCTCTTTGAGTCCATTGCATTACCTTGTGTCCCCACGTTTTGCTGCTACTGCACGGCTCCAGACCTTTCTAACTCCTCTGTTAATAGCTCTGATTGTAACTGACAGGCAGTTGCAGGGCTGCCACCATCTGAGACAGTGAGAGAGCTCTGGCTGTGAGCAATCCCTGACCTTTTACTGCCGTATCAGCACCTCTAATGGCAGTTGACAGGGTTTGGCTTGAAAGGTGTCCCAACAAAGCAGTTTCAGTTGTCCTGTTAAACCAGAACTGTCCTTTGGAAAGAAAAGAGGCTTCTGTGCTTGTCCCATCTCCCAAGTTATCCAATCCCTTTGTAAGCAGTTCAGCTTCCCCTCCGCATTTGTCTCTGCAGAGTTGTTGCAGTGTGTTCCACTTGAAAAGCTAATCTTCCGGCCTCTTACCGCACCCCTGAGATGCCATTTTCTTTAGGTTAATCCCAGCTGGCAGCTGTACCGCGCGTTTGACCAGACACAAGCATTAGTTCTGCCTGCTCATTGGTGCTGAGAGGAGAAGGGCCTGGTCTGTTGCCATAACTGATCATTACAGAAATCTCTGGGAAACCGAAGAGCTGTACTTTTAATTCAGATGGTCAAAATACTCAGCTTGATACTCACTGTTCATCTCTTCTGGCACTAATTTAATTCTATTTATGTCTGCAAATTTTACTTTGTTGTCCTGACCCGCTCCCACCCCTTGCTGACATACGGAGGGGCACGTTGCTGGTTCTTGGAGCTGATAACTTCTTGTGGGCGCGGCTGATTTATGCCAAAGGACTCGAGATAACCTCTCGCCTAGACTTTGACATCTTGAGGGCAACTCATGGCACAGACCTGCTTGTGGCAGTTGCTCACACTATGACCTTACGGTCTGAATCCACATTCCAGTGAGAGAAAAGACTGATCCAACCTCTTCTGCATCTCCAGTACTGCTGGTAAGAAATAGATTAGGAACAAAGTAGGGAGGCAGCTGCAGCCTGCCACAGACGTGTTCCCTGTAGGTGCCAGGCTCTCATTTTCACTCTTGTCATTAAAGCTCTTTGCAGGAAGCTGTTTTTCTTGGAATTGCTGTGATTTTCTTAAAAGGTGTATCTTTGACCTGGCTCAATGAGCAGATCTTCTAAATGAAGAGGCAGTCCTGCACCTCATCTGAGCGCGGTTGTTACCTTTAGAAAATTAAAGCACGGTCCCCTGCTGAAATAAGAGGTTTGTTTATGCAAAGTGCCTAGGAGGCAAATGCTGGCAAAGCTGATGCCATATGGAAAGCAATTATGTACCAGAGCTCCTGCTTTGGTGATTTTATGAATGACACACTTAGGATCACAGAGCTTCTCTTTAAAGACAGGCTGTGCAGCCAGTGTTTGCAAATAGTCTGTCCTCTTTTTCTCTGAATTCATGTGTCTAATCTCATTGTTTTGCTATGGATTATTCCATGGATCATTGGACACACTGTATCAGGGATATTTGCTCTTCAGGTCAGGAAAACGCACGGCCGTTGATCTCTTCTGTTGGTAGGATTTAGCATTTAGAGTAAGCCTCAGGACTTTATATATGTACAGTGAAAGGGAAAATAAAAATCTGAACAGCCAACTCTGAAAACCCTGCTGCATCCGCCTACATTTCAGATGGGAACGCTTGCAGACATAGAGGTGGACATTGTTAATTAACAGGGATGGTTCAGCCCGTGGTAGGTGATTTGTCTTGCTCTTCTGAAAATGGGGAGTACTTGGCTGCTTGAAAGAACGAATGCCGGTTTTCCCCCGGTGGTATAGTTTAAAGATATAAATCCATCCAGCAGTTCCCTCCCGGCAGAAACCTGCGGCTGTCATACCCGTTTCGCAGTGCAATTCTTTAGCATCCTCCTCTCCAGTAAGGTCACAGCACTGTGTACTCTGAACAGAAAGCCTTGAAAATCCGATTTCTGCAGAAGAAAATATTCAGTGCGCATCCTTGTACCTGACTTTATCATTTTAATACGCCAGCAACCCCAGCCTTCCCCAGGGCACAGAGTCCCACCGTGAGCCACGAATACAAATGGCACGATTGAGAGCTCCCTACAGCAGCCCCTCGCTGGCAGCTCCGTGAGATCCAGCGCGCGTTCTCCCTTCCCTGAGGCAGGGAGGCAGCACCCAGTGGCTTCCTCTAGGCAGTGATCTATCAATACCTGCCACCACTTTGAGTTTATAAGGCTGGGATTTATGATGATTGCTTCATAAACAGGCAGCATCTTCAAGCTTCAGTGTAAATAACAGTTGCGAAATAAGACCTCTGAAGAGTTTTGGTAAGGGATACTAATGCTTTGTAAAATGACAGAACATTTTTCTTCTGATTGCACTTTCCACCTTTCTTCCTCTTTGAAAAAGAAGTGCTGCACGCTCTCCCCAGGAAACTGGAAAGAGGAAGGAGAGAACAAGGGCGTTAAATAGGACATGGTTGTTTGCTCTTTGTAAAGCAACTGCTCATTGTATATCATGAACCTGAAGTTCTTTTCTGGCTTTCTCGCTACAGACCACGTCTCCATTGGGGGGCTTGGGGACAGCTTTTATGAATATCTCATCAAATCTTGGCTGATGTCAGACAAGAGAGACTCTGAAGCTAAAAAAATGTACGACGGTGCGCTAGAGGTAAGGAGTAGGTTGCTGCCCTGTATTTTTTGTGAGGGATATCAGAACATTTCAGGAAAAAAGGTCTTGGGTCTTTGGGTTTCCTTGGTATTCACTCCTGCCCTCTAAGTATTTTGAAATACTTAGTAAGTAAGTTATACTTACTGCCCACTAAGTATCTTGAAGTCCTGGTTTTCATCCCTTTAGGCAATAGAGAAGCATTTGGTCCAAAAGTCCACGGGAGGATTGACGTACATTGCTGAGTGGAGGGGTGGCGCCTTGGAACATAAAATGGGCCACCTGGCTTGCTTCTCTGGGGGCATGATCGCACTTGGAGCTGAAGACGCTGGAGAAGAGAGGAAGCAACATTACATGGATCTCGCTGCAGAAATAACAAACACGTGTCACGAGTCTTACGCACGCTCAGGTAAATGTGTGGGCTGCCCGAGAAGTGTTCGTAAGGGATGGCCTGCAGACTCAGCAGACTCAGCTGCGGTGTGGCAGAGGTTTGCGTTGCAGTATTTTGTGTTTCAGCGTCATCTGCAACCCTCTGTATAATTTTCACTTGTCTTTTCTGGGTTATCTAGAAGATAAAACGATAGGTTTTACATAGCAGACAGCTGGAGCAGAGGAACAGGCAGATGTGAGCTCCTGTGGCAGAGCTGGGAAATGAACCCAGAGCTGAATCCTAGTCCCTCTGCCCAGTCGCAGAACTAGCCCTTTCCCAACAAGACTGTGCCTTGAGTCTGTCCTTTCACGGCCCTTTGCAGACAAGAAGGGGGGTTAACAGAGACTAATTGCGAGGCGTCCCACTACGTGGAGCAGAGCAGCTGAGAAGCCCAACAGGAGAGCGTTGCAGACTTGCAGCTGCTGGTAGGAACCAAAAAATGAAGTTCTCAGCTTCTCCTGGCTGTCTAAGCAGAGGCTGGCTGGTCGCTCTGTTTCACAAGTCCAGTAGAATTTGTTTCACCACCCAGTGTGCTCATCAGTCAGTGCTTTGGGAGAGCAGCGACTGATGATGAGAGACTGGGTTTGTTCTCTGCCTGCAAGGCTTCTAGTGAGACGGGCTTGCTTTGGACACTGCTCCTTTCTTTGGAGGCATCTCGATAGCTCTTCGGAGACTGCAGGCGGCGAAGGCGCCGTCTGCTTTCCAGGACCTTGTCAAGCGCAGGTCTGTCTGCGCTAACAGTTCACCAAGATTGATTCACAGCTTCACCACCTCAGCAAGCCCATATTGGCAGCCCGTGTCCAGCATGTTTGCCCAATAAACTTCAAGCTAACCTGAAATGATGGTTGCAAATAACTCTTGTTTTCCCCCTCCAGCACTTACAGAACTAAAACAAGCCACCCGAACTAATAACCCTCTGGTTGTGAGTACCTGGAGCCAATTTTCACCTTTAGCAATATCCATCAGCATAGAAAGGAGAGTAGCAAGCCTGCCCGCGCTGGTTACGGTGCTGTCCTGTCAGCAAGCTCATTGTTCTGCAGAGAATGTCTGTGCCCTCGGCAAATAGTCCAGCGAGCAAACGCTCTGAGATCCCCGTGCAGACGGGAGAGCTCAGGGAGGGTGTGCAAAATATTTAGAGAAGTAAAATGACTCCCTCTAACACACTCTTCTGGTGGACACATGGGTGCAGCAGGTGAAACTTTGTGGCACCATCATAAGCAGCCTGTGTGCTCAGTTGCCCTGTTTTTCAAACAGGCAGAGGGTTGGTGTGGAAAGTGGGGATCTGAGCGGTAAAGCTCGCAAGAGGTTGAGTTTCTACTGTAAGGGACACTCAGGAACGCCAAAGTGCTGTTAATGTTTTATTATAAAATACCAGTGAAATCGATTAAGCCTTCCTCATCATCCTGACATCTTTTCGAAGAGGCTGGACCAGAAGGAAAGGCAGAAGCGGTCGCAGGCCCCAGGTACCACTTGTTAGAGCCTCCCAGCTGCAGCGCAGATGAAATAGCTCTGGTGGGCTCGTAATTGTGAAACAACCCCCCTGCCTAAGAGCAGCGGATCAGTGTCTCTGTGATGGCAGGGTCAGCTGCATGGCTGGATTTTCCTTTGAGTGTGCTTTCTCTTTGAGGCTTTACAGCAGGATCTGCCTTTGCTCTTTCTCGTCTGAGTTCATCTTCAGGACGAGCTCTGCTCTCAGGGCCAGGGGCAGTGCCATTCCTACGAGCAAATTCCAGCCCAGCAGAAATGCTGGGATTTGGGAGAGATTCGTACCTGCCCTCTCCACGCTGAAATCTGGTCCAAGTCTGTGTCTCATCAGTCGTAGCCACTCTCAGAAACACTTTTATCCTCACCAGGATAGTACCCAGACATTCCACAGAAGCAGCAGCACCCGGAGTGCCAGTGGGCACCCGCTCCCACGCTCTGGGGAGTTGTCCCTGTGTTGACATCGGGTGCGAGGCTGACGTGATGCACAAGCGTGACTGATCTGACCTCACGCAAGCCTTAGCTAAACGCTGACAGCCTGAGCGGCATAAAAGCACCTTAACCGTCTGTTTACCTGCATTCTCCTCAAACTAATCATTGCATGTGTGTGATTTTTGTCTAGATACCAAACTCGGGCCTGAAGCCTTTCGCTTTGATGCTGGAACTGAAGCCATGGCAACCAGACTCGGCGAGCGCTACTACATCCTACGTCCAGAAGTGGTAGAAAGCTACATGTACATGTGGCGGCTGACCCACGATCCCAAGTACCGGCAGTGGGGCTGGGAGGTTGTGCAGGTATGGTTGGGAAAGTCGCGGTAATAACTCCTACGCAGATGCTGGATTCTGACAAAAACCTTTCCTTCGGACAGTAAGAAGAGCAGAAATTCTTTAAATTGTGTTAGGCGCTAGGCACGTTAACAATGGGGCAGACACACACAAAATAGCTCAATTTAGTGCTGCGTCTGTTGATCATTGTGAATGTTTTCTTCTCCCTTTTGGGCGATGCTAAAATCAATCAGTCAGTCAAACCAGCGGAGGTTGATGCAGCTGAGTGCTGCAGGCAGCGAAACCTGCTATTAACGTCACAGCAAAACGGAGTCAATCTTCTATTTGAAATACCTGGACTGCTCAGAACCACTGGTTTGTAGCTGGCCGAGGAAAATTGGCCTTTGCCCTTCGTCTTGTCTTCTTCCTGTGAAGACCTCCCAGCTAGAAAGTCCTTAACCTCTTCTGAGCTCATGCAAGACCCCGTTGGCTGCTGCCCCGCACCCTGGCAGGGGCTGCGTTCCAGTGGCAGAACTATCATTTGTCTGCTGCCCTGGAAAAGAGGCTCCACAAACAGCAAGAGTTGCCGCTCGAGATGTGGTTTTGCTGTGTGCGTAACGACAGGGTCAATCAATCAACCAGCTTAGGTGGTTTATGTTCCTCTTGCTGTTTCATTAGATCGAGCTGTATTCCTCGAGTCTGGAGTAATCACCACGCTCTTCAGTGAGAGACAGAGGCTGGTGGAACTCGATTTGTAAAGCCGACTTGTAACGCAGCTCATGGTGATTAATGAGTCACTCCACGCTATTGTGTGCTACTGAGGGGTTTTGTTTTTTTTTGCTTTCTCAGGCCCTGGAGAAACATTGTAGAGTAGAAGCTGGTTTTTCTGGCATCCGAGATGTTTACACCACAACCCCAACCCATGACAACATGCAACAGAGTTTTTTCCTCGCAGAGACTCTGAAGTAAGTCTGGTCTCACAGAGGCCTTTGAGCGTAATGTAACTGCTGCAGCATTGACACTCTTGTCTGCTTAAGTCTCTACTAATTTGAGGGAGGTCCTAATTCCATGGGGAAAACTGGGCAAGGCTGTGGGGGCTGCAAAGCTTTGGTAGTTTCCTCCTGTAGAACCACTGCTGTCATTGGCACTCCAGAGGTTTCTGCTTGTGTGCTGGATTTAAAGGACTCTTCCTGTGGTTTAGAGCTGCTCTAAGTGGAAGGCTCTGACTGCTGAGCTCCTTTGAATTTAGCTCTGATGGTTTTAAGAGAGAGACATCTCCTCTGCCAGATTAATGCGAGAGGAGGCACGTCTATGGCCTGAATTTGCTGCCTTTACTAGCAGCGTGAGCTAATCTTTGTGGGGTGGCTGAGTGCAGATGCTCATCCCATCTTCATCAGGGGTGGTAGTTTCCAGCTGGAGAGTGACGTGGGGAGTCAGGAAATGTGTCACCATGAGCCTTGGCATTTGAGGCCAATGGCAGCCCCATCACATCCTGCTGGCAGTGCTCGCTTGTGCATGCTCAGAGTCCCACTCGAGTTTCTGTTAACCTCCCTTTGTGTCCACCTTCTTCCCCGCCCCACCTTCGCCTTGTGGCTCCAGGTACCTCTATCTTCTGTTCTGTGAAGATGACGTGCTGTCCCTGGACGACTGGGTGTTCAACACTGAGGCTCACCCCCTGCCAATCAACCACACGAACTTTAAAGCAAGTGTGCAGTAGTGAGGCCACTGCCCAGTGTCCTGCTTCTGCAGCCTCGGCGGGTTACTGCATTTCCTTTCCATTAAAGGAATTCGCATTGTTCCTAAAATGGTATTTTGGGGCACTAGTCCAATTCCGGACAGTATTATATTGGGAAGATGAAACCATGACGTAAGCACCTTCTTTTCCTCTGTGAGGAGCTCTATTAGCCTGATAATGAAATGTTTATTCTGGGCCATATTGTACACAGTTCATAGACATTCCTTTATACAGAGAATTTATATGAAATCCACTGATTTTGCTTTATAGTGGCCAAAGGACTGGAAGTTTGCCATAAAATAGACTTTACACACACACACATACACATCCTCCTTTCATTTTTCTGTTTCATTTTTGCCTTTTATATACTCTTGGATTTATCACCTTTCTAATGAACAGTTTTCAATATACCGTACTTTCGAGGTGGTAGGTTTTCCAGGCTCGTCGGGAAGGACGGGGTAGGAGAACAAGGAAGGGGAGTTGCCTTTTCTGTGTGTGAGCAGCTCTAGTGCATGAAACTCTGCCCAAGGCGGGATGAGGAGCTGACTGAGTAAAAGTGATGAGTGAAGGTGACGTGACAGCGGGTGCCAGGAAGAACAAGGGCATTGGGCTCTCTGCAGACAGGTAGGAGCAGTTTCAGGTTTTAATTTGCAGGTCCTGGTCCTCATGGGGGAATTCCGCCACCATCATAACTGCTGAAAGGACAGCAGGAGATAAGCAATCCTTGAGTGGATTGCTGATAGCTTCCTCCTCCGAGTGACAGAGAAGCCAACAAAGAGCAGTGCTCTGCTGGGCCTCACCAACAAGCAGGGGCTCGTTGGGGATGGGCTGCAGTGACCGTGAGATGGTAGAGTTCAGGATCGCGAGGGCAGGAAGGAGGATGAAAAGCTTGGACAAGCTCACAAGCCTGGACTTGAGGAGAGCAGACCCTGACTTCTTCGAAGATCTGCTTGGAAAAGTCCTGTGGGATAAGACCCTGGAGGGAAGAGGGGCCTGAGAAAGCCAGTTAATATTCAAGAATCGTGTCGTCCGAGCTCAAGGGGGTTCCATTCCAGTGAGCAGGGAGTCAGGCAAAAATGCCAAGAGGCCTGTGTGGATGAACAGAGAGCTCCTTGCCAGACAAACTCAGAAAGGAAGCATAGAGAGGGTAGAAGCACTGTCTGAGCATCCAGGGCTGATGTTAAGAAAGCTAAAGCCCACATGGAATTTAACTCAGCTGGGAATGTCCAAGACAACAAGAAGGGCTTCTGTAAGAGCATAAGGAACAAAAGGAAGACTGGGAAAATGTGGGTCCACTGCTCAACAGAGGACCTGTTTCCACAGGGCATGGAAAAGGTTGAAATACCAAATGTCGCCTTCGCCTCAAGTCTTCACTAGCAAGACCGACTTTTGGGAATCTCAGGGCCCACAGTCCAGGGAGAAAGGCTGGAGCAAGGAAGATGTACCCTTGGTGGAAGAGCATCAGGTCAGGGAATACATAAGCCAACTGGACATACAGAAGTTCATGGGTCTTGTAGGGATGCACACACAAGTGCTGAGGGAGCCTGCAGATGTCATTGCAAGGGCCCTGTCAGTAACCTTGGGTTGGTCATGGTGACGAGGAGAAGTGCCCGAAGACTGGAGTAAAGCACAGGTTACTGCTGTCTTCAAGAAGAACGCCCCAGAGATCTATAAACCTCACCTGAATCCCTGAGAAAGGTGATGGAGCAGCTAAACCTAGAAACAATTTCCAGGCACATGAACGACAGAAAATTCTTCACGAGTAGCCAGCATGGCCTCACCAAGGGGACATCGTGCTTGGGCAACTTCAGTGAAATGACTGGCCTGGAAGGTGAGGGGGGAGCAGCAGACAGTGCCTGCCTGCAGGAAGACACTGGCAGAGGAGATGGTCATAGACGAGCTGTTGGTGTACAGGGTGGATGAGCAGACAGTGAGGTGGGTTGAAAACCGGCTGAATGGGTGGGGGTAGAGGTGGTCATCGGTGGCATGAAGTCTTAGTTAGAGGCCATAGCAGAGTGCCCCAGGGGTCCAGTCCTGTTTTAATCTCTCTCCTGCGAGGAAAGGCCGAGGGAGCTGGGACTGTTTAGCCTGGAGAAAGCTCAGAGGGGATCTCGGTAACATGTATAAATACCTGAAGGGAGGGTGCAAAGGGGACGGAACCAGGCTCTTTCCAGTGGTGCCCAGTGACAGGACCAGAGGCAGTGGGCACAGACGGAAACACGGGAGGTTCCCTCTGAACATGAGGAAACACTTTTTTTTTCACTCTGAGGGTGACCAAGCACTGGCACAGGTTGCCCGGGGAGGCTGTGGAGTCTCCATCCTTGGAGATTTTCAGAAGCCACGTGGACACAGTCCCGGGCAGCTCCGCTCGAGCATCGGGGTTGGACCACATGGACCCCAGAGGTCCCTGCCGGCCTCGACCATCCTGTGAGCGTGTGATTCTGTGGTGTCAGAAATTGTAACTAAATCAAAACCTGTCTGCAAAATTCTTGCTCCTGATGTATTTTTATATACTTCTGTGCTCTTAAAACACATTTGCCGCACATCACATCTCGTTTAACTTTCCTTTATTGTTTTTGTGTTTTTCTACTTTTATTTGGAACTAAATGTTATGAGTCACTTGTAATAATTTCACTGCTGTAATAGTCAACTCTGTGAAAGAGAATAAAAGTCTTGTAAAATAAAAAGCATGTTTGGGTTGATCTCCTTTAAAGCCATCTGTCAAAGCCCTGTTACATCATGCTCGGAATAACTAGGTGACAATAGTGGCTGATTTCAAGAATATTTCACAATGGATGCTGATTTCCAGAGTCATCTAGCCAATGTATGGACAGCAATTCCCATCTGCACCAGCTCGCTTAAATTGCTTGTTCACCATCTGATATGGTGGTTCTACTAAATGTCTTATTTTTCTAGCAAAAAAAAAAATTAAATAATCCCCAGCCGAGTTTGCTCCTGTTTCTGGAATGAAGCAACAGAGGAAAAAGAAAGGAAGAATTTGTAGCCAGATTCATCCTGACCACAAACTGGCAGTTTAGCTTCTGTGTGCCCTGTGACTCTGAGCAGAGATGCCCACACAACGCTCCTCGTCTGACCCCGGCGGTCTCGAGAACCTGCTTAGAGTTCCTGCGACAAGGGCAGGATCTAGGACCGGCATCCTTTCTTCCTCTGGTCACTGCCAAGCTGCGTGGCCCTTGGTGATCGCTGATTTTTTGTTCGTTCTTGCGACTTGATAATCGGTTCAGTCTGCAACTTGGGAAGATAAAAGTTGCTTGGAGCAAGTTATGAAAACAAAAACCAGGTTTCTAAATTCATGCCTTTGTAATTCCCCGAGAGAAATAAGGTTGTCAGATGGGGACTTAGCATTATCCCAGGGATAAAGATACTCACTGGTAAGCTTGGCCTAGAGGAACGGTTATTGGTAAATAAACATCTTGGGAGTGAGTTGTGTTATCCGAGAGATTTGGATACTGGGAAACTGGTTTAGCTCAGAGGGTTTTTATAATGGATTAAGGGAATTCCATAAATAAAAATGTCTTGCTCTTGGAGTAACTCAAAACACTTTGCCTGGCCAACTTTAATCTCCCCCAGATAAACAGCATAGTTCCAGTTTTCTGTAGAAATAAATCCTGGGTGTTACGTTAAAACTCTGCTCTTGTTTTCTTCTCCACACAAGCGAGCAAGAGCAGTATTTGTAAAGTCACGTACGCTCCTGGAGGAGAGCTGCTGCTTTCCTGCAGTTTGCAGGGAGGCTTTTCAGTTGCCCAGCATGCCTGACGATGGTAAAGCTTATTGATAAGTTTGCTCACCGAGACACTTGTATAGAGCTCGGCTCCAGTCGCAAGGAAAGCTTTTTGTGGCAAACAGCCGTGCTTGAGAATTTCCACTCTCACAGGCCACAATTCTGCAAATGCTCCTGCCTGTGCTCACAGACAGCCACAGTGAAATCCCTGAGGCCAGTGGATTCATCGCAGCCATCACGCAGGTGTTTAGCAGGAGTAAAGATTTGTTCCAAGGATCAGCTTTGCTCCAAGGCCTGGCCCTGATGCACGAGTGGGATTTTTTCTGTCCGACGGCAATGCAGGTAACAGAAATGTTCGCTCCAGTGGCGTCCTGGAAAGGATCTGGGAAGATGAGTGTCTTCGAGCTGCTTTCCTGCCTCTCAGTCTCAGGCATGTGGGACACTGGTGGGCGTCCTGTTGTTGATTTACGGTGGTTTTTTTCTACTTTTGAGACACCTTACCAGGAAATGTGATCAGCCTTGGTTGTTTCCCATTTCCCCTTTTATATTCAAATTCAGAAGCCATGATTACCATGTTAATTTTCACCATCAGAACATGTGGCCCTATTTTACGACAAGAAATTTTCCTGTAAATTAAGTTCTGATAAAAGAAAGTTGCATTACTGGTAGAGATGAAAACTAGTAACTGTCCCTTGTAGAACAGCCAGCTGTGTTGCCTGGCTGTACAGGCAGACAAAACTATCCAGAAAACAAATGCATCTTTTGGTAACCCACACTTCATTTTTTACAGTGTTATTAAATTCCCCTGGAAGGCTTTCAGCAGAATTGGTTATTGAATCCAAAAGCCTGGCAGTCGCGGTATTTTTCCGCATACATTCTGATCATCTGATCTGTTTATCCGATCGTTTCAGCCGTGGTGCATCGAGCGCTTGGCTCCCGGCACTCGCAGTTTCTTCTGCTGAAAGTTGGGTCTTTGCCTTCGTTCCCCGTGGAGCCTCAAAGAAGTACCATGCTGTAATTAGGAGTCCTCTCAATAAAACACCCCTGCATTTTAAATAATGAGAGTGTTGGACTGTGACTGACCCACCAAGCTGGATTCCTTCCTACTCGATCGGAAAGGCCAAGGAGGAGTTAGGAATGCAATCCCGTGAGAATTGGATAAACTGTGGCTCTTGCTCTTCAGCTGCTTTGAAACATCTCGAACTAAACTTCGCTCCGCAGCCTTTGCTGGCCATTCTTTATTTTTCTGGGATAAACTATGGTTCTCCATGGCTGTAAAGTGCGTCTCCGTAGCAAGACACGATCCCTCTTCTACAAACGCAGCTTTCTTGTCCACTCTGTGAAACCAGACTTTAATATTCCTTCCTGTTTCCCACAGGATTAATGTTTTTTGGAGGGGGAGCTCAGTCTGGTCAGGACTTGCTTCCTCGGAGAGGGTTCTGTTATTTACCCACAAGGATTTCCTTTTGATTACAGCAGATATCAGGATATTTTAAAATCTCTGTAACCTGAAGAACCAGCAGTGGCAGAGCCAGGAGTTTGTTGGGGTTTGTTCTTTTATTCAG